AAGGTCCTCCAGAAGCTCTCAGGTGGGGAGAAGATCCTAAGGTGGGGAAGAAGGTCCTCCAGATGTTCTCAGGTGAGGAAAAATGTCCTAAGGTGGGGAAGAAGGTCCTCCAGAAGGTCTTAGATGGGGAAGAAGGCCCTCCAGAAGCTCTCAGATGGAAAGAAGGTCCTCCAGAAGCTCTTAGATGGGAAGAAGGTCCTCCAGAAGCTCTTAGATGGAGGGAAGAAGGTCCTAAGGTGGGGAAGAAGGTCCTCCAGAAGCCCTCAGATGGGGAGAAGAAGGTTCTCCAGAAGCTCTTAGATGGGGAAGAAGGTCCTAAGGTGGGAAGAAGCTTCTCCAGAAGCTCTTAGATGGGGAAGAAGAAGGTCCTCCAGAAGCTCTCAGGTCGGGAGAAGGTCCTAAGGTTGAGGGAAGAAGGCTCTCCAGAAGCTCTTAGATGGGGAAGAAGGTCCTCCAGATGTTCTCACGTGGGTGGGTGGGGAAGAAGAAGGTCCTCCAGAAGCTCTCAGGTGGGGAGAAGATCCTAAGGTGGGGAAGAAGGTCCTCCAGATGTTCTCAGGTGAGGAAAAATGTCCTAAGGTGGGGAAGAAGGTCCTCCAGAAGGTCTTAGATGGGGAAGAAGGCCCTCCAGAAGCTCTCAGATGGAAAGAAGGTCCTCCAGAAGCTCTTAGATGGGAAGAAGGTCCTCCAGAAGCTCTTAGATGGAGGGAAGAAGGTCCTAAGGTGGGGAAGAAGGTCCTCCAGAAGCCCTCAGATGGGGAGAAGAAGGTTCTCCAGAAGCTCTTAGATGGGGAAGAAGGTCCTAAGGTGGGAAGAAGCTTCTCCAGAAGCTCTTAGATGGGGAAGAAGAAGGTCCTCCAGAAGCTCTCAGGTCGGGAGAAGGTCCTAAGGTTGAGGGAAGAAGGCTCTCCAGAAGCTCTTAGATGGGGAAGAAGGTCCTCCAGATGTTCTCACGTGGGTGGAAGGTCCTCCAGCAAGTTCTCAGGTGAGGAGAAGAAGGTTCTCCAGAAGGTCTCAGGTGGGGAGAAGGTCCTAAGGTGGGGAAGAAGGTCCTCCAGAAGCCCTCAGGTGAGGAGAAGAAGGTCCTAAGGTGGGGAAGAAGGTTCTCCAGAAGCTCTCAGGTGGGGAAGAAGGTCCTAAGGTGGGAAGAAGGTCCTCCAGATGTTCTCAGATGGGGAAGAAGGTCCTCCAGAAGCCCTCAGCTGAGGAGCAGAAGGTCCTCCAGATGCCCTCAAGGGCAAATCTTGATGTAGGTGACGGTGGAGCAGACGGAGAAGAGGGGGAAGACCTTCTCCTGGAAGGCCACGTGGAAGGTGAAGATGTGCTTCATCCTCTCGGCGTCGTAGAAGGAGACCTCCTCCCCTTCGTAGTCCAGGTAGACCCTCACCTTCCTCAACTTCTCCTCCAGACACAACGGCGTCCGTTGGGGGGAGGTGACCGCCCAATAACGTCCTCCGTTTTGTTGGACGGCCCAGATGCCTTCTTCTGGGGAGAACTGGGTGAGACCTTTTCTTCTGACCGACTCCTTGGCCACCCCGAAGGCCCAACCATCTGATGGTCCCACCTCCACCTCCCAGTAGTGACGTCCCGATTGGAACCCGGTGGTGGCCAAGACCCTGGAGTTGGTGTCGAACCTCTTGGGGTTGTCGGGGAGGTCCTGCTTCCGACATCCCATCCTCACGCTCTTCAGGTCGGAGGAGAGGATGAGGAAAGAAGGTCCTCCAGAAGATCTTAGATGGGAAAGAAGGTCCTCCAGAAGCTCTTAAATGGGGAGAAGAAGGTCCTCCAGAAGCCCTCAGATGGGGAGAAGAAGGTTCTCCAGAAGCTCTTAGATGGGGAAGAAGGTCCTAAGGTGGGAAGAAGGTTCTCCAGAAGTTCTCAGGTGGGGAAGAAGGTCCTAAGGTGGGAAGAAGGTTCTCCAGATCGGGAGAAGGTCCTAAGGTTGAGGGAAGAAGGTTCTCCAGAAGCTCTTAGATGGGGAAGAAGGTCCTCCAGAAGCTCTTAGATGGGGAAGAAGGTCCTCCAGAAGCTCTTAGATGGGGAAGAAGGTCCTCCAGAAGCTCTTAGATGGGGAAGAAGGTCCTCCAGAAGCTCTTAGATGGGGAAGAAGGTCCTCCAGAAGCTCTTAGATGGGGAAGAAGGTCCTCCAGAAGCTCTTAGATGGGGAAGAAGGTCCTCCAGAAGCTCTTAGATGGGGAAGAAGGTCCTCCAGAAGCTCTTAGATGGGGAAGAAGGTCCTCCAGAAGCTCTTAGATGGGGAAGAAGGTCCTCCAGAAGCTCTTAGATGGGGAAGAAGGTCCTCCAGAAGCTCTTAGATGGGGAAGAAGGTCCTCCAGAAGCTCTTAGATGGGGAAGAAGGTCCTCCAGAAGCTCTTAGATGGGGAAGAAGGTCCTCCAGAAGCTCTTAGATGGGGAAGAAGGTCCTCCAGAAGCTCTTAGATGGGGAAGAAGGTCCTCCAGAAGCTCTTAGATGGGGAAGAAGGTCCTCCAGAAGCTCTTAGATGGGGAAGAAGGTCCTCCAGAAGCTCTTAGATGGGGAAGAAGGTCCTCCAGAAGCTCTTAGATGGGGAAGAAGGTCCTCCAGAAGCTCTTAGATGGGGAAGAAGGTCCTCCAGAAGCTCTCAGGTCGGGAGAAGGTCCTAAGGTTGAGGGAAGAAGGTTCTCCAGAAGCTCTCAGGTGGGGAAGAAGGTCCTAAGGTGGGGAGAAGGTCCTCCAGATCTTCTCAGGTGAGGAGCAGAAGGTCCTCCAGATGCCCTCAAGGGCAGATCTTGATGTAGGTGACGGTGGAGCAGACGGAGAAGAGGGGGAAGACCTTCTCCTGGAAGGCCACGTGGAAGGTGAAGATGTGCTTCATCCTCTCGGCGTCGTAGAAGGAGACCTCCTCCCCTTCGTAGTCCAGGTAGACCCTCACCTTCCTCAACTTCTCCTCCAGACACAACGGCGTCCGTTGGGGGGAGGTGACCGCCCAATAACGTCCTCCGTTTTGTTGGACGGCCCAGATGCCTTCTTCTGGGGAGAACTGGGTGAGACCTTTTCTTCTGACCGACTCCTTGGCCACCCCGAAGGCCCAACCATCTGATGGTCCCACCTCCACCTCCCAGTAGTGACGTCCCGATTGGAACCCGGTGGTGGCCAAGACCCTGGAGTTGGTGTCGAACCTCTTGGGGTTGTCGGGGAGGTCCTGCTTCCGACATCCCATCCTCACGCTCTTCAGGTCGGAGGAGAGGATGAGGAGGTGATTGGCCGACTCCGGGTCCAAGGTGAGGTCTTCTGCGGTGGTGACACCAAAAAAAAAAACAAGGAAGTTGGAAGAATTTTGAAGGTCCAAACTCTTGAGGGACACGTGGTTATGGGTTCCTCAAGCCCATCCTGACCTCCCTCACGCCTCCCCCAACCTCTCGTGGTGAGGAAAGGGGGGTTCTTTGAAGTTCTGGAGATGCCTCCTCCTAGAAGACCATCAACTAAAAGACCACCACCCTAGAAGACCACCATCTAGAAGACCACCACCTTGGAAGACCACCACCTTGGAAGCCCACCATCTAGAAGACCATCACCCAAAAGACCACCACCTTGGAAGACCATGACCCCAAAAGACCACAACCTTGGAAGCCCACCACCTTGGAAGCCCACCACCCTAGAAGACCACCACCACCCTAGAAGACTACAAGCCTAGAGGTCCACCACCCTAGAAGACCATCACCTTGGAAGACCACCACCCAAAAGACCACCACCCAAAAGGCCACCACCTTGGAAGACCACCACCCAAAAGACCATCACCCAAAAGGCCACCACCTTGGAAGACCATAACCTGGAAGCCCACCACCCTAGAGGTCCACCATCCTAGAAGACCATCACCTTGGAAGCCCACCACCCTAGAAGACCACCACCCTAGAGGTCCATCACCTTGGAAGACCATCACCCTAGAGGCCCACCACCCTAGAAGACGACCAACTTGGAAGACCACCACCCTGGAAGACCACCACCCAAAAGACCACCACCATGGAGGCCCACCACCCTAAAAGACCACCACCTTGGAAGACCATGACCCCAAAAGACCACAACCTTGGAAGCCCACCACCCTAGAAGACCACCACCTTGGAAACCCACCACCCAAAAGACCACCACCCTAGAAGCCCACCACCCAAAAGACCACCACCTTGGAAGCCCACCACCCTAGAGGTCCACCACCCTAGAAGACCACCACCCAAAAGACCACAATCTAGAAGACCACCACCCTAGAGGTCCACCACCCTAGAAGACCACCATCTAGAAGGTCACCACCCTAGAAGACCACCACCCTAAAAGACCATCACCTTGGAAGCCCACCACCATGGAAGCCCACCACCCTAGAAGACCATCACCCTAGAAGACCACCATCTAGAAGACCACCACTGTAGAAGACCATCACCCAAAAGACCACCACCTTGGAAGCCCACCACCCTAGAAGCCCACCACCCTAAAAGACCATCACCCTAGAAGACCATCACCTTGGAAGCCCACCCCCCAAGACC